GTGGATCATGTTGATTCGATCTATGATGTGGATGTGAGTGAAACTTCTATATTGTGTGAATTTAATGGGGGACTATCCGATGAATATGATGGATAACAATATGTAAATATTCAATATAATATTTTATTTCGTATCTTATTTTTATTATTAATTAACTTATTGGAATTTTTTACTTAGTGAATTTGATTATTAAACTAATACTTTTGTCAATCCATTAATACAAATTTGATATTATATCAACATATAATGATTATATAAAGTAATTTATTTAGCGATTTTGATTACTTGGACCAATATTTTTGTTAATCCATTAATGCAAATTTGATATTATAATCATTATATAAAGTAATTTGTTTAGTGAATTTGATTACTTAGAACCAATATTTTTATCAATCCATTAATACAAATTTGATATTATATCAATATGTAATCATTATATAAATTAATTTGTCTAGTGAATTTGATTACCCAACTAATATTTTTGTCAATCCATTAATACATATTTGAAACTCTATCAATATGTAATCATTATATAAAGTAATTTTATTTAGTGAAATTACTGAATCAATATTTTTGTCAGTTCATTAATACAAATTTGATACAGTATCAATATATATATCTAATATAATCTTTGATCTAAAATATTTTTTTTAAAAAAATATATGACTAATCTCTAAATAACCAAATATAGGGAAGGTTTTAATTACTTTCCCCAAAACGCTGCAGTTTTGGGGGGAAAAGGCCAAAAGCCCATGCCAAAGAGAAATACAAAGGAATGAAGGTTGGGCTAAAAACAATATTTCAACAGAGCTTGGGTTTGACTGGTTGTAAGGGGGAGCTCCATTAGTTATTTTTTTTTCTAATTGTTACCAATCTTCAGTTTTTCATATATGTGATTAGTATAATATTCTGATTGGATTAGTGTAGTTCACCGTTTCATTAATCATTTCAGATCAAAAAGACTAAGATTCATATCCCAATCAATAAGAGAGTTGTGAGTAGTTCACAACTCGAATTTCCTCAAGTGCTAGTGAAGGTTGTTTTAGATGTTTATTTAGTCATTTTTTTAATTACTATTTTACTTTTAGAAGAGACATTCCCGTAATCCTATTGGGTATTCTAAATTATTGTGTAATGAATGTAAACCCTAACTCTATTATTCGCTTCTGCATTTAAATTATGAATTCATTTCCTTTAAGATTTCAGGTATCTACAGTTGGTATCAGAGTTGTGTTCCTCGGAACCATTCCTTACATAGAGACTTAAAAACCAAATACGAACTATCACTCAACCATTCCTTATAAAATGAAGGTACAAAAAATGAGGAAAGGAATGCTCCAATTAAACCTAGTAGCCCGGGATGGTTCACTTTGAGAGGATGTTGACCGACTTTTTATGTAGTAACTGAAAAAAAAAATGAAGGAAACGACACCGTTTTGAAGAGGGAAAAATGGTGTCGTTTTAAAAATGGAGAAACGACATCGTTTTGAGGAAGCTAGTGGGATATAAATAGGGGTCGAGAAAGAAAAGAAAAAGGAAAAGATAAGAAAAAAAAGAAAGAAAAGAGAAAAACAGAGAAGGAAGAGAGTGGGAAGGAGAAAAAAAGAGAGACAAGAAGGTTCCAAAAAGGGAGAGAGGGGAGTCAGAGCAGAGAGGAGCGAGAAGGGAGAGAGAAGAAGACCGCAGACGGTGACAGTGCGATCGGCAAGAGGAAGGAAAATGGAAATGGGAGGTACGGCAAAAATTTTGGTTGTGTAGGTGTTGTGTGATTTGAAATATTGGTTGTAGGTTGAGGGAGCCAGGTAGTTAGTATGTAGTGTGGCGGAACTGAGAGGTGGAGGTAGGCGGTGGAGAGTATAGCTTAAATGGCAGAGAAGTTCACAGAGGAGGCCGCGGGAAGGGAGAGGATGGCGACATTGGGGCGTACGAGAGATTCGTGGGAGAGAGTGGAGGTTGTGTGAGGTGAGTGTGATCACATAGGGAAGGTCACTGGGAGAGCGAGTGAGGAAGTTGGTGTGTATGGGAGATCTGATATGACAAAGAGAGTTT